AATTAGGAAACTAGATTTTGCAGTGACATTTCTGGGTTCTTCAGAATTATTTGACTTTAGGTATAGGCAGTTTACCAGAGGCTGTATGGGTTTTTCATTCAGAATTATAAAAAAATAACTTGAGAGAAAAAAAGATTTCTCTTTTAATTTTCTAGTCCCTCCCTTCCAAATTTATTGCTGAAACAAGCTTTGTTCATTCATAGTTCTTTTTTTTTTTAGTTTTCAGTTTACTTTTGTTCGTTTTTCATTTTTTGAAAAAACATTTTTTTTTCCATTTTCTTTTATTTATTCATATGTGCATACAAGCTTGGTCATTTTCCCCCCTGCCACCCCCTCCCTTACCACCCACTCCGCCCCCTCCCTCTCCCCCACTACCTCAATACCAGCAGAAACTATTTTGCCCTTATTTCTAATTTTGTTGTTAGAGAGTATAAGCAATAATAGGAAGGAACAAGGGTTTTTTTGCTGGTTGAAGATAAGGATAGCTATACAGGGCATTGACTCACATTGATTTCCTGTGCGTGGGTGTTACCTTCTAGGTTAATTTCTTTTTGATCTACACTTTTCTCTAGTACCTGTCCCCTTTCCTATTGGCTTCAGTTGCTTTTAAGGTATCGGCTTTAGTTCTCTGCGTTAAGGGCAACAAATGCTAGCTAGTTTTTTTAGGTGTCTTACCTATCCTCACCCCTTCTTGTGTGCTCTCGCTTTTATCATGTTGCTCATTAGTCCAATCCCCTTGTTGTGTTTTGCCCTTGATCTAATGTCCACATATGAGGGAGAACATATATTTTTGGTCCTTTTGAGGCCAGGCTAACCTCACTCAGAAATGATGTTCTTCCAATTCCATCCATTACCGAGCGAAATAACATTTCGTTCTTCTTCATGGCTGCATAAGAATTCCATTGTGGTTATAGATACCACATTTTCTTAATCCATTCGTCAGTGTTGGGGCATCTTGGCTGTTTCCATAACTTGGCTATTGTGAATAGTGCGGCAATAAAACATGGATGTGCAGGTTGCCTCTGAGTAACCTGTGTCACAGTCTTTTGGGTATATCCCCAAGATGGTATTGCTAGATCAATGGGTAGATCGATCGTCCAGCTTTTTAAGTAGCCTCCAATTTTTTTCCAGAGTGGTTGTACTAGTCTACATTCCCACCAACAGTGTAAGAGGTTCCTTTTTTCCCCGCATCCTCACCAACACCTGTTGTTGGTGGTGTTGCTGATGATGGGCTATTCTAACAGGGGTGAGGTGGAATCTTAGCGTGGGTTTTAATTTGCATTTCCTTTATTGCTAGAGATGGTGAGCATTTTTCATGTGTTTCTGGCCATTTGAATTTCTTCTTTGAGAAAGTTCTGTTTATTCAGTCCCATTTCCTTTATTGGTTCATTGTTTTGGGAAATTGTAGTTATTTTAAGTTCCCTGTATATTTTCTGGTTATCAGTTCCTTTGGTTTGATGTATAGTGGCAAATATTTTCTCCCACTTCTTGTTGGGTGGTTCTCTTTCAGTTTAGAGGACATTTTCTTTTCATGACAGAAGGCTTTTTAGTTTATGAGTCCCATTATCTTAGCAATCTCTGTGCGTGCTGCGGGGTTTCATTGAGAAAAGCTTCTTACCTTATTACCTACTAAACTCCGGAGTATTCCTACTCTTTCTTGTATTCAACTTAAGGATTTGGGGTTTGAAAAAACATTTTTAACACACATTATTAAAAAAGTTAAATAGTATTTAAAATTTATAAACAAAATCAACATTGGGGAAGTTTAGTGACTTTTTGACATAATGGCTCTTTATAACAGGATAGATCTAACTCTCTTATATTCATCCTCCTCTGATCATTCATAGTTCTTTAAAGCCTTATTCCATCTGCTTATTACAGCTTAGAAAACCATAATCTTCTTTGGCCTACTAATCTTTTCATGGTGATGAATCATGTGATTGAAAACTAACGTTTCTTTTGGCAGGAAAAAATAAATATGGGGTGGCACATGCTCAAATAAAACAAATATTCTTCCCCCTGCATAAATCCATTTGTTACTAAAGTAGGAAAAGCAAAATATTAGACTTATTCGGGAATTTTTAAAAAATAATTGTGAAAGCATTTGCTACTTTACAGTTGCATTATTGAATAGAATGTTTACTGATGTGGCAAACTTGTTCAATTTAAGTACAAAAGCTAATGAGAATCTTTGATCTGTTTTTTTTTTTTTTTTTTTTTTCATTTTTTCTTTTATTATTCATATGTGCATACAAGGCTTGGTCATTTCTCCCCCCTGCCCCACCCCCTCCCTTACCACCCACTCCCCCCCCCCCTCCCCCCCTCAATACCCAGCAGAAACTATTTTGCCCTTATCTCTAATTTTGTTGTAGAGAGAGTATAAGCAATAATAGGAAGGAACAAGGGTTTTTGCTGGTTGAGATAAGGATAGCTATACAGGGCATTGACTCACATTGATTTCCTGTGTGGTGTTACCTTCTAGGTTAATTCTTTTTGATCTAACCTTTTCTCTAGTTCCTGGTCCCCTTTTCCTATTGGCCTCAGTTGCTTTTAAGGTATCTGCTTTAGTTTCTCTGCGTTAAGGGCAACAAATGCTAGCTAGTTTTTTAGGTGTCTTACCTATCCTCACCCTCCCTTGTGTGCTTCGCTTTTATCATGTGCTCAGTCCAATCCCTTGTTGTGTTTGCCCTTGATCTAATGTCCACATATGAGGGAGAACATACGATTTTTGGTCTTTTGGGCCAGGCTAACCTCACTCAGAATGATGTTCTCCAATTCCATCCATTTACCAGCGAATGATAACATTTCGTTCTTCTTCATGGCTGCATAAAATTCCATTGTGTATAGATACCACATTTTCTTAATCCATTCGTCAGTGTGGGGCATCTTGGCTGTTTCCATAACTTGGCTATTGTGAATAGTGCCGCAATAAACATGGTGTGCAGGTGCCTCTGGAGTCACAGTCTTTTGGGTATATCCCAAGAGTGGTATTGCTGGATCAAATGGTAGATCAATGTCCAGCTTTTTAAGTAGCCTCCAAATTTTTTTCCTAGTCTACATTCCCACCAACAGTAAGAGGGTCCCCGCCTCGTGTTGTTGGTGGTGTTGCTGATGATGGCTATTCTAACAGGGGTGAGGTGGAATCTTAGTGTGGTTTTAATTTGCATTTCCTTTATTGCTAGAGATGGTGAGCATTTTTTCATGTGTTTTCTGGCCATTTGAATTTCTTCTTTTGAGAAAGTTCTGTTTAGTTCACATGCCCATTTCTTTATTGGTTCATTAGTTTTGGGAGAATTTAGTTTTTTAAGTTCCCTTATATTCTGGTTATCAGTCCTTTGTCTGATGTATATTGGCAAATATTTTCTCCCACTCTGTGGGTTTCTCTTCAGTTTAGAGACCATTTCTTTTGATGAACAGAAGCTTTTTAGTTTTATGAGGTCCCATTTATCTATGCTATCTCTTAGTTGCTGTGCTGCTGGGGTTTCATTGAGAAAGTTTTACCTATACCTACTAACTCCAGAGTATTTCCTACTCTTTCTGTATCAACTTAAGAGTTTGGGTCTGATATTAAGATCCTTGATCCATTTTGAGTTAATCTTGGTATAGGGTGATATACATGGATCTAGTTTCAGTTTTTTGCAGACTGCTAACCAGTTTTCCCAGCAGTTTTTGTTGAAGAGGCTGCTATTTCTCCATCGTATATTTTTAGCTCCTTTGTCAAAGATAAGTTGTTATAGTTGTGTGGCTTCATATCTGGATCCTCTATTCTGTTCCACTGGTCTTCATGTCTGTTTTTGTGCCAGTACCATGCTGTTTTTATTTTGTTATTGCTTTGTAATATAGTTTGAAGTCAGGTATTGTGATACCTCCTGCATTGTTCTTTTGACTGAGTATTGCCTTGGCTATTCGTGGCCTCTTGTGTTTCCATATAAATTTCACAGTAGATTTTTCAATCTCTTTAATGAATGTCATTGGAATTTTGATGGGAATTGCATTAAACATGTAGATTACTTTGGGAGTATCGACATTTTTACTATGTTGATTCTACCAATCCATGAGCATGGGAGATCTCTCCACTTTCTATAGTCTTCCTCAATCTCTTTCTTCAGAAGTGTATAGTTTTCCTTGTAGAGGTCTTTCACATCTTTTGTTAGGTTTACACCTAGGTATTTGATTTTTTTTGAGGCTATTGTAAATGGAATTGTTTTCATACATTCTTTTTCCGTTTGCTCATTGTTAGTGTATAGAAATGCTAATGATTTTTCTATGTTGATTTTATATCCTGCTACCTTGCTATAGCTATTGATGATGTCTAGAAGCTTCTGAGTAGAGTTTTTTGGGTCTTTAAGGTATAGGATCATGTCGTCTGCAAATAGGGATATTTTGACAGTTTCTTTACCTATTTGTATTCCTTTTATTCCTTCTTCTTGCCTAATTGCTCTGGCTAGGAATTCCAGTACTATGTTGAATAGGAGTGGAGATAGTGGGCATCCTTGTCTGGTTCCTGATTTTAGAGGGAATGGTTTTAATTTTTCTCCGTTAAGTATAATGCTGGCTGTAGGTTTGTCATATATAGCTTTTATAATGTTGAGGAACTTTCCTTCTATTCCTAGTTTTCTTAGAGCTTTTATCATGAAATGTTGGATCTTATCAAAGGCTTTTTCTGCATCTATTGAGATGATCAAGTGGTTTTTGTCTTTGCTTCTGTTAATGTGGTTTATTAGTTTATTGATTTTCGTATGTTGAACCACCCCTGCATCCCTGGGATGAAGCCTACTGGTCGTGGTGAATAATCTTTTTGATGTGTTGCTGAATTCGGTTTGCCATTATTTTGTTGAGG